ATTGTCAACCATGATTCTTTCACTATTAATCTATTATTAAAATACCAATTTTAATCCTAATTCATGAAATTAATTCTTTCTATGCCTTAAGTTTGTTAGTATTCAAATAATAAAGAATCTTCCATTCTATAGTTCACGTTAAAGATAATCTAAATTTATTTGATATTTTCTTTTTATATGAAAATTGAGAATAGAGAAACTGATTTTTGCGGAAGGCTGGAACATAAAAGATAATTTAAATTTATTTGGATATTTTTCTACTACATGGAATTTTCTTTTATTTTACAATATTATAAATTCTGAGATTTATTATATGTTATTTTTTAGTTTAAAATAATTCTAGCAAATTATATTATATGAATAAGAAATAAGTTATTATTTTTGTTTGAGCATATTTCGTGGGATATAATTATAATCTCCCAAAAATAATAAAATCAATGATTTTGTGCGATGAAAATTCAAAATTAACGACTGCATTAATTTTTAGTATTTTTCAGCAAATCTTAGATTGAGAAAGCATTTTTCTCCTATTTTAATGATTATAATATATGTCAACATTGAATTTTTATACTATTATATTTGTGTAAGTTTCCCTTTAAATTTAGTACATGGGCTTCTCCAACAGACTTTGACCCATTCACAATAATTAGGCTAACCAGTATATAATTAGCATGGCCCAGTAATATGAATTCAAACTTCTTCATTGTACTCCAACTTTTCCGTACAGATTTATACAAATTATGTTGTGAATATTTTATTTTACATTGATCAAGTCCAAATTTTTGTATTGAAATCATGTTAGAGCATTTAGCGACAAATTTGGAATCCAGTTAGAATATGTAGATACCAATTCAAGTTTTGAGTCTATTAAAATAACTCGGGACGAGATAAATAGTAATTAACAATCTTAAGAAATTATCGAGTGATTTCATTCGTTAAAAAATGCAATGTGCTTATCAATATTTTGAGAAGTCCTTTTCATGTCACATTAGTACATTTCAATCGGTCCTATCAAGTTTTGAGTCTACTAAATATTTATTACGGATTGATCGTAAGAGATCATGTAATCTCTTTGACAAATTACTGAGTGATTTCATTGGTGAAAGGATTGCAATATGATGAACAATGAATTGAAATGTCCTTTTCATATAATAATGGTGAAAATATATATATATATTTTGTATTGATTATTTTTACTCGAAAATTACAATGTTATCGAACCTCATTGTGATTATACTTACTCGAGAGACAAGTCAGAACTAAACGTGTATCTCCATGAATCTTTCATTTTTTTAGAACCAACCCGAGTAAGACTATTTTGTAACGATCTGCAACAACCAAATTAAGTACCATATTTTTACTAATCATAGAGATGTTAAGCAAGTTGGTTTAATTAGTTGTTAGACCTAGTTTATACCAAGATTTAACATTAATGAAATCATATTGGTAACCATTCCATAAACAAATAATCAATGAACAAGATTGAAACAGACATAAAATCTATATATATCATTTTTGGACAAGATTTTTCCTTATCCAAACAGGATATGTCATCTGTAATGTTTGTTTTTGTTTAGACTTTCCTTTTCAAGTCTTAATCCTTGTAGACTACTCTGGGTTTGCTGGATAAATTTTAATTTTATTTATTTATTTCATTTTATTTTTTGTATAGGTAGGAAGTCCTTTTCAGAGTAGGGTTCCTTCATTACTTCCTTTTCATAGGCTCCATGTCCCTTTAACTGTCTTTACTCCTGATTTGCTGGTAGATCCAGTCAATATTGGGTGGCAACGCCCGTTCACAGGGTGGTTGTTGCCATTTTTAGACTCCTAACTGAAATATTACTTATATTTACTTAGAAAGCCATAAATTAACGAAATTAAGTGAAGTAAACTAATTCAATTCTCTATATAGTAGGAGTGAACTTTCTACAAAATTCTTTATTTCTCTTCGCTTCTGTACGTATGGAGATAAAATATATCTGCCGAAACTTTCACATAATCACGTCAACTTTGCTTTAAAAAAAGAAAAAAAGAAAAGACAATTCACGTTCCCAGTCGTAAGATATATTTTATTTAATTTTCTATATAAAATTTATAGATCATGGTCATTGCAATAGTAAGCTTAGTTGGTTGTTTAATTTTTTCTACAATTAAAGGAACATAATTGTTTTATTATGTGATAGTGGTAGAGATTTCATTCCAAGGTCAGATATATTAATATAAAGAATCTTTTATATCGCTTAATTGTTGATTTATTAACAATAATCGAGTCTTAATCAGCAATGACGTGTTCACAAACCTATTTTTATGTTAAGTACATTGATTTAGTCTAATCCCCCATTCTATATATTAATAGCTCATCACATCACTCAAGACCGTAACTTAAATTAAATAGATTATTATTATTTTATTTTTGTAGTGACATGAAATTTGTGGAGCGGATGAGATTAAATATTTCAATATTTTAAAGTTCTACTAGATGATGAATATTAAACGTTTATACATGAATCACATGTAATACTATCGTATTTGAAGAGTGACAAGGCTTAATACGACTACACTGATACTTAAAGATTATATAGCCCTTGTTCAGTGGAGATTTAAATAATTTTTTTAGAAAATTTTGATAAAAGATGATGAAATATATGATTGAAATATTGTGGATTCTATGAAATATGTGATTAAATTATTGAATCATTGATTTTGATTTAAATTAAAATCAAGATTTTAATTCTCACCAAATATAAAATATCCCTCGAGTCAATGGATTTAAAAAAAAAATAAATAGAAAATATCCCTCTCAGTTCTCTTTTTTATCCCAAAAACCTTGGAAATCCAACTAATATAGACCACGGATCCATTTTCGGTCCACTAAATTTTTATTTATTTTTAGTATTTCCCTATCTCTATTAAAAATTAATTGATTTACTATGCATTCCGTTTTCTCTGGAGCCAGAGAACCCACATTAAATAGGTTAGTAAACTATTTAGTGTATATCTAATAAAGTATTTAGAGTATCTCTAAGAGCTCTTTAAAAGTGAAATGAAATGCTCTCCATTTTAATCGGAGTAAATACATTATCAACCTTCGGCTGGTGAGTACAATACGAATTAATCAGTGTAAAAGACTGAGAGCTAAAGAGTGAAAAGGGACAATTTGCTCTTTCATACTTTGTGCCACTATATGCCTAGTCGAACACTTTTGTGCTTATAATCTCTCCATGTATATAGTACAATTACTAACCAATATTTGATTAGTTGCCCCTTTAGTGTACTATATGTATGGGGAATATTTAAATTTTTTTTGTCTTGTTCATTGTAGCTAATATGTACAACTCTTCTATAGTTGATATCCTCATTTTTGCTTCCTTCGTCTAATATACATATATTCCTTTTAATAATATCACTTAATACAGTAAAAAACATGATTTAGTAACTTGTATTTTAACCAGTAGATGTATATCATTGAGATCTCTTTGCCCCCATCACCTACTAAAGAATGTGCTATTAGATTGCTGCACTTCTCATGACCCTTTGCGTCAAAGTGACGATATCGGGATGAGTTCGACTAGTCTAGTATGACTTTGAAACAAAAGGCGATCTAAAAAATATATTTTGCTCTTGTTTGATTCCCATTTTGGGAGAAATAATGCATTTTGAATAGTAGATTGATGGAGAATGTGTAGATAAAATTAAAGAAAAATTTTGAATTTGCGTATAATATTATTTTATTAAAGAACGTGTGCTTAAAAATGAGTTCTAGAAAAATGTATTTTTAGAAGAATGAAAATCAAACAAGGGCTTTAGCTAAGTCAACAAAGAGTTACGCTTTTATTTCAAACTAGGCAGTGAGTGGACTAACCCTAGAAAATATGTCTTGGGGTCCCAAAGACTCATTTTGACTGAAACAAGGGACAAATCTTTTCCAACTTCTAAATATTCAAAGAGTGATCTTTCACATAACAAAGGCCATTTTCGAATAAGCCAATTCAAGAAAGACATGATTCAAAATCTAATCTTGTTAAAGATGATGATTGAAAATAAAACAATTTCTTCGATCGTGTATCTCTATTAATGCAGTGTGATCTTATCCTAAATTATATTCTATTATTAATAATCAAACTTAAACAGCTAAATCATTCACCAGTGTGATCTTATCCTAAATTATAACGACTCAACGAAAATGATCTCCTAAGCACCGATGACATAACACGCTATTTAATTGGTGAATAAATTAATAGTAGGTCACATGTATTTAATGATTCACTAATTAAATGATGTATCACATCACTGGTGTTTAACATAAGCTAAGCACCAGTGTTTAAGAGATCATTCTTGAATGACTCAATTATTTTTACCATGACTAGAACTAGTTGTATGCATTCCATTTTAATATTATTTATGATTTTTCGACTACAAAATACTCTTGTAAAGTTATTATATGTGAAAATCAATAAGAAAATAATACAAATAAGTTATAACACGATGTTTAATAAGAATCATGATAAAAGGCCGTGTTATGTACACCGAATTAGATCGTATAAGGAATTTAGTATGATTTTTAGAGTAGATATACCATTTAGATAGTATAAAGGTGGATTAAAGTGTATCACTATTATTATTTTTAATTTATTCAAATTAAAAACATTATTTGCACTTTCTTAAGCTAAAAAGATAACATAATATCGAGTGAAGTAGGTTTACGTGTGATATAAAAAATAGTGTAAATAGCATTCTCTTGAATAAAAAATTTGTAAATAATATCCTCATTAAACCATACTACTACTATATATTTATTTAGCCTCTATTTGGTGTAGATTAAAATCAAATTTTTAGTAGATTGTGATAAAAGTTGATGAAATTTATAGTTGAAAAGTTGCGAGTCTCATGGGATGTGTGGTTACAAATAATTGTTCACTTTGATTTGAATCCAAACCAAACAAAGCCTTAGCAATATTTTCTTTAATTCTAATGTGATGTGCCAAATATAGCCTAAAGGATAAACAGAAGTCAATATGGAGAGTGACATTGAAAATAGTACTTACCATTACGACATTTATGTACGTAAAAGTAGAAGATAACAATCCTTCTTATAAATTGTTTAAAAGAAGGTAAAATCACAACCACCAACTTACAAAGCAAACAAGAGGTAAAGAGGGTTGGAGAAGGTATTTATTTATTTTAGGGTTTGATGAAACGTTGAAGTTGCTTCCATGCATGAGTAGTATCTATTTTGCGTTCTTATTTTTCTTTTATAATTAGTAAATTGAGCTGCAAATAGATCGCTTTGATCGTACCCTAACCATCAACGGATTGGCCATTTCACAAGAAAGTTTCAGCACCTCAGATAAGTCGATTTGACCACAAGGCAAGAACTCGAATTCATGCAACAGGGATGCGATCCAAAATGTGACCGTGGTTAGAGCCAATGTCTTACCTGGGCAAGACCTGCGACCAGACCCAAATGGTGCAAGCCTGAGATCAGATCCGAGCACCGAGAATTCTAAATTTGGAGCCTCGCTTAAAAACCTTTCGGGCTTAAATTCCAATGGATCGTTCCAAACTTCCGGATCCCTAGTGATGGCCCACATGTTAACCATTGCTGTGGTCCAAGCTGGTACGCGATATCCATCAACAACTGAGTCGGCTATCGCTAATCGAGCCCAAGATAGAAGTGGACCCGGTGGATGCAACCTCAATACTTCCTTTATTACCGCCGTCAAATATACCAATTCCATCAAATCGGGCTCCATCACCGCACGTGAACTTCCAACAACCTTGTCCAACTCATTGTGGACCTTTGATTGGATATCGGGCCTTAACATCAATCTTGCCAATATCCACTCTATCAGAACTGCCACAGTATCAGTACCCCTAAATATCATTTCCTGCAACATAGGATAAAAAAATATTATCATAGGCAAAAACCAGGCTTATGAGATGGATATCTACATATTCATTTGGCTAAATTATATTCATGCGATCAATCCTTAAGAATAACCATGATATCATTACGAACGAGGCCTTTTCCTCCTTCCACGTAATTGAATTGACTTAGGTCAGAAGTATTCCCTTTTGGGTTGTGAGCCGCAAAAGTAAACTACTTATATGTGAAAAATTATAGTTATAGTTAAACATGAATCATAGAAAAGGACTGGAGTATTTTGTGGGCTTTTTTGCATACCCAAAGAACGGCGACCATGTCGGATTCCGACAACCTATCCGGCCCTTGAAGAGACAGCAATACATCAACAAAATCACGACCAACCTCTCCGGATTCTGCCTTGTGTTCTTCGATAATACGGCCGACAAACCGGTTAACTTTGGGTACGAGGTTGAAGCATCTTAACCGGATCTTTTGCATGTCGAAATCATACAACCATGGAAGATGATCAGACCAATTCGTCATACCCAACAAATCATACCCTTCATCTACCAATTTCTGCAATTCATTTGTTTCATAATTGTAGGAATCCAGCTTGTAATTCTTACCAAAGACAGAGCACATCATGTTATTAAGAGAAGCCCGTTTCAGTGCATCCCTGGCCCGAATCTCACCCTTTTCAGCACGAAACATTGCCACCAGCTGATTAGCAATCTCCGACCTTTGAAACTCCGAAGCCTTAATTTGCTTCGGACAAAATAGGTGGGCAGCGGAGATTCTACGGAGGCTCCTCCAGTAAACACCGTAGGGGGCGAAGCCGATGGCTTTATTGAACATAAGATTATAGGCCGATTCCTTCACCGGACGATCGGCAAAAGTTGAACTATTCAGTATTTCTTTCGCAATATCGGGATTACACGTAACAATTACGCGTGTTTCGCCAAGGCTGAACGCCATTAGACGCTTGGCCTTGCAAGATTCCGCCATGGCTGCAATTTTATGGTGAGCTAAACCCATCATGAGTTTCATGCTTCCAATAATTGGGATACCATTTGGGCCGGGTATTGGCTTAGTACAGGCGAGTTTTCGCCATTTGTATTTACCCCAAGCTGGGCCACCGGGGTGTGCCCAGAAAATCAAGTTCATGCATAGCCATGCGAGAAGAGCAAGAAATGTAAGGGTTATGGAGTTTATGAAAGTGAAAGATTTGCATTTTGAAGCTATGGCGAAAAGCCAGAGGTTTTCGAATTCATCTGATCTCATTTTGGTGAAGAAAGAGGGAAATTTAAGCTGAAAAATGGAGTTTGCTTTGAGTTTCTTGGCTTGGAGAGACAAGGGCATGAGGGTATATATAGGGCTCGACCAAGTGAAAAGTACAGTGATTATTATCCACACACGACGAATTATCAAAATACCCTTTATGTTATTTAATGATTTTTGAATTTTTTACAAGGTGTCCTATTCTAGACTAATCCTTGGGTCTGTGATCCGGCCCCTCTTCACACAGTCCGATTAATCGCAGGATGTGCCTCCAACTGGCCAGGGTCCGAGCGCTCCCCACCTGGTCTGACAAAGTGCCAAGCAAGCCAATCCAAGTTGCACCTTGCCTTCCAAGAATAATCCTTGCCTTCCAAGTTCCCACTTGCCTTCCAAGAAACATAGTTTAGCAAATTTCAACTAAATTTCTAGCACGCCAACCACTTGTAAAAACCCCAAAGGGTACTTAGAGGTGCTAAAAGTCAGGTTGCCTAAATCTTATTTTGCCCCAGTTTGCTTATAAAAGCGAGTCATAGATCAAGTTGTCTATAGAAACAAGTCGTACATCAATTCATCTAGAGAAGCAAGTCGTGAACTGACTCGTCAAGAGAGACATGACATACCTAACTTTATAAGCTTGCGAAATTTTGTTTATTCCAAAAATCAACAACGAATTATTGGCTCTGGTGTCCCATCCAATCTAAGTCCATCCCCTTCTATTAATCAGTAGGTTGCCCTAACACCAATAAAGACAAACAAGATTCCAGAACTCGAACTCGAACTCGATAAAGAGAATTACGTCTTCAGGGATTATAAGCAACTTTTGTAAAGATCTAAAATCATTCTTCTTACCCATTGAACTGCAGAATTATTCAGACTCATAGCATCGAGCCTTTCATATTCTAAATGAGATTGTGTTATTTCATTCCAATTTGTTAGGTGCCTCTACGATCACTCGAAGGGTTAGTCAGTACAACATGCCAACTTGTTCTCTCGATTTTTCTTTATAAGTTTGAGATTTAAAAAAAAACAACAACTACTACTACCAAAACGTATTTAATTTCATTAAAAAGTACAACGTCATCAGATAAAAAGAGTTTATAATAATGATTAACTATTTATATAAATAGATATTCGTTTAATTATAGTGACAGATTTGAGGAGCGCCGCACGATTGCGCTACGAAAATAGAAAGATGGTTTCTACTTGGAGTTTGAGGTAAGAGGGTGTAGTCCAATGAGATTTAATTGCGTGTTCTTTATGCTAATTAATGACGGATTAAAACGTCATTAATTATATGTTAATAGTATTCGGGGCCCACTTAACGGGAATAGTGGACATCCCTTACGTCACATAATGTCGGCACTGGTTGTGGTGACGCATGTTTTTGGTATTAATGACACACATCAGTTAAACTAATTGTTATTATATGTGTAGGACAATTTGAGATTTGCTTTGCTGTCTATTTAGGGTTCGTGGGACAAAGTTTTTGACAAAAATTATCGATTTTGACAGAAAAAAAATAAAAAATCGATGAATATACGTGATTAAAGAGTATATAAAAATCGTGATGTCATAAAATGTTTGATTTTAATATTAAAATGTGATCGGTGAAAAAATTGATAAAATTTTATTGAAAGTTCGTAAAATAAGCACTTAGCCGTCTCATTGATTGTTTTACAACTAAATTTTTTACAAATCACTTAATTAATTTATTGCTATTGTTAACAAGAAAAATTACATTGAACCTAGATTGTTGGACGGAAGGTGGGATATTGTTGTCTAGTGAGAGAGCATGTTCTTTATACGAACGAGGGACACTTTACGATGGTTTCGAACAAGACCTTACAACTTTATTTAGAGGTGTAAAAATGAAAAATATACCATTTAAATTTCAAATGAGATGGAAAAATCAGTAGCATATATTAATGGATTTATAAAAGATCAAGTCTTCTATTGACCAAATCAAATATTTAGAAATAAGGAAATCATCAAGACCTTTGTGTTGGAATTTTATGAAACTTTAAATGTCATGAAATTGAAAATCAAATTACTTAATTGTCAAGGTCCTCCATATCAAATTACAAGAGAATTATTAAGTGCGGAACATACCTTAATTCATTGGGAATAATTCTTTAATATTGGATCTTGATTCAAAATCTTGAATATTGACTATTTTGATTCTTGAGTTCTTGGTTTTACTTCTTAATTCATAGTTTTGATTCTTGAATTTCTTCTTTTTGATTCTTGATTGTAGATTGTGTGTTCTTGATTGACGATTTTTGGATCTTCTTCTTCAATATACTTTCTCTTGTATTTTTGTGTTGTTGAGATGACACAAAGAATGAGAGGTTGCATATGAATTGAGAACCATAATTCTATATATAGTTTTTATATATATTTCGTTTATCATGAAATAAAATTCTAAAAGAATCGGGCCTCCAGACGTATAATTCGACCCATTTTATTAAGATACCCAACTCTCAATTACTTAATTTTTTTATTAGATCACATTAGTTTTGGACTTAATTTTAAAATATCATTTATATATAATTAATTACATATGTCAGCCAACCTAGCAAATTAAATAATCTCCCAATAATCTTCTACTTGAGCTACATATATTACCTTATAAATGTGTATAATCTTATGAGCTTAATATCATAACCAAAAATATCTTTGAACAATCTCATCCATTAATTATGTCAATAGAGGATTAAAGCAGTCTTCATTACAGGTATCATCACTAAACCCTTAATGGTCATGCATATCAAGACAATCAGATGACATAGATCAAATGTAGATGTGTAGCATGAAAATTACATGCAATGTGATCTAAATATGCCTATTTCCAATTGATCACACCTTATTTTTTAATGAGATAAAAAAAACCTTTAATTAGAATGAAAATTGATCTGAATACTTTATTTTGAGTTATATTGAATATTCATGGATAAAAATATATGTCTAAAACAGATAACATCCGAACACAAACTCCCACTAAACTAACATATCTTCAAAATATGCAATGCCCATGTGAGCATTATGCTAATGAAAGACCTTGGTGGCAGCCATTTAGTAAATGGATCCATAATTATGGAGTTTGTCCTAATAAGCTTTATAGAAACCTGATTACTTTGAATTCTTTCCTTAATAGCTAGAAATTTGATGTCTAGAAACTTTGACATTGCCAAGCTTCTATTGCAATACAAAACTACTATTGTCACAAAATAACTTAAGTGGTCTTTCAATTCTATCTAAACTATGTAGCCTAGTGACAAAATTCGCACTCATATTTTATGATCAAAATCAGAATATTCAATGATCTCCAATTGGTCTGATTTCTTGTATGTGATCATGTAATCCTTAGATCTTTATAGATACTGAATAACCCACTGACTACTTTCTAAATATCTATCCTAGAGTTACTTAAATATTGTACAACATTCCAATAATAAATATTATATTCGAATGCATGCAGACCAAGCATACATTAAATTCCTAACTGCTGAAGCATATGGAATTTTCTATATTTCATTTTCTTTAAGTTTATCCTTATGGTATTGATTAAGACTAAACTTGTCTCCTTTAGCAACATGGGTATCACATGGTTTACATACTTACATTTCACTCTTAAGAACCTTTTCCATATAACTCTTTTGTAATAATTCAAAAATGCTCCGAGAATTATCTAGTATATCTACATCCTTAATACAAAATAGGCGTCACCAAGATCTTTCGTTTCAAAATTCCATGACAAAATCTTTTTTTTTTTTTTTTTTTTTTTTTTTTTTTTATAAGAAATATTTATCAAAAGTTTTGTTTTGTGCAATAAGCATATATCATCATAGGGAAGTAGTATGTCATCGACATACAATACCATGAAAATATGCTTACTCCCACTTAACTTGTGATATACACAATCATCAACTGAGTTCGTCTTAAAACCAAACGAAATAATTATTTGATGAAATTTGTGATGCCATTGATGGTAAACTTGCTTAAGCCCATAGAAAGATTTCTTTATTTGTAAGCCATTTGTCGTAGCCTAAGTTCAAAATGTATCACAAATGCCATAATAGTCCTAAAAGATTCTTTCATAGAAATCATAGAGAAGGTCTCTTAATGTCAATACCTTCCTTTTGAGTAAAGTCATTTGCAACAAGACGAATCTTTTGTCTCTCCACACCATCCTTCAAATCTTTCTTGATTTTAAACATCCATTTACAACCAATAAATTTTGCATCTTCAGGCAATGGGATGAGATCCTAAATGTCATTATCTTTTATGAACTTTATTTCTCTATTCATGACATCAATCCACTCTTGAGAATTATTCCTTTACACGGCTTGATGAAGGTTGATTGATCAGATCTTCTTCCATCAATCCAATGTCATTCATATTTTCTTGCAAAAAGACTATTAAGTTATCCAAAATGCCTTTCTCTTTTTCTAGAGGATTTCCTTAATTGCGTTTGTTCTTGATGTTGATGAGTTTGTTTTTCTGGAACAACCTCTTGATTGCATATAAGGGATTTTATAATATTATCTTGATCTGAAATTGCTTCTTGAATAAGATATGGAGCAAGAATTTGTCCCTGATCCTTATCATTGCCAATTACAACAGAAGAAATATATACATATTCTTCCTCAAAGGCAAAATCATTAACCTTATAACATTATCTCTCTTTCCTCCCCCCCCCCCCCCAAAGTTTTTTTTTTTTTAAACATTTTTCATTTTTAAAACTGACCCGTGGGATCTTAAATTTGTAACCCCTTAATAGTTTATTTGAAACTTTATTGAGAATTTAACCAGTAGCATTTAGTGCTTCTTCCTGGAGAGATTCTACCAATGTGAAATGACTAATCATACTCATCAAATCCTTAAATATTTTGTTTTGTCTCTCAACAACACCATTCATGCTAAGGATCTCTAGCATGGTGTACTGTAGGACGAATCTACATTCATCTAGAAATTTTAGCTAAGGTCATGGACGTTGTTTTCGTGATCCTTCATATTCGTCATAGTATTCACCACCAAGGCTAGATCTG